TTCACCACCAATATGACGATATATTTGTTACATTATAGCATAAATAAAAATATTCCCTTTGCATGAATAATAAACTAACAAAATCAAAATATATACATATATATACAAAAAAAAAGTTAAAAGGCTTGATTTAAAAAAGATGATATATTTCTGCGTCTACAGATAAGAAATTAGGGAACTCAGCTATCCCCTTTAATATATACCTAGTCATTATTGCAATCGTCTAGTTTTAGCATCATACAATTGCCATCTTGAAACGTATCTTATATAAATATTACTTTTGTACAATCGTTCACTGTTTAAATTTCTAGTGAACCTTTGCAATATAGATACATTATTATACTATTAAGCTAAGTTTGTCCAATCGTTCAGTACTTTATAGGTGGCTTCTATTATCGCACTTGTGTAACTGGGTTTCTGATATATCTACCTCTACTTTTGTGATATTTCTACTTGATTTCAAAAAAAATTTAATAATAAATTTATATATTTTGTTTTATTTGAAATTTCCATGTCTCGATTGAGATTTTACAATAACCTCAATTTTAGCCTATCTGTACTACATTACACAAAGAACAATATAGTGTGTCCACGGATGGACTTAATTATACTTGTAAAAATATTTATTTTAAATTAAAAAAAGTTATTTTTCATAATTTCTCAATGTGAATCGAATTTATTTAACAAGTTAAAGAAATTATGAAAAATTACTTTTTTAATTTAAAATAAATATTTTCACAAGTATAGTTAAGTCCATCCGTGGACACACTGTGTAATGCTGTAGAACTAATTCACATTATAACATCTATAGAAAGTTTCAGAGCAACTTTCAGGATAAGTACCGTAAAAGTGCTAGTGTGATGTTTTCCAAACTTCACTTTCTAACCTCTGTGAGATATGCTATAAAAGTCTTGCAGTTGCGGACATTCGGCGGTTGCTGAGATGTTAGGGTTACATAAAAAGTACATCGCATGCGAGCTTAAAAAGCCTAAAATTGCAGCTTATTAACGTAGATGAGATGTTTTTGTGCTTGCTGGGTCTGCTCGACAGGCAGTGAACAAGAGGATAACTACTAAACATCAAACTCACTGGCAACAGATAAGAGGACACTTAATCAATAAGATCTCATGCTAAGGGGACCATATCCACGCATGGCTGTTGAGGTACTGCAACTCCCAAGGCCTCAGATATCCACCATTGTGGAATTACTAATGACACAATGTTTGCTAAAACACCTTCATGTGAGTATGTGAATTTGATGAGATTACAGAATGATCCCATCACGTGTAGACTGCGTGGCAGATGAAGAAACCTCAGATTATGTTATTTTCGAATGCAAAGCTCTTGCTAGGCGACGAATCGCCCTTTTTAGTCTAGAACCGAAAAAAAAAACTCCCCAGAAACACTTGATAAAGTACTTGAATTCGGAGAAAGCAGGAGAATACAATAGACCCAAGAAGCTGCAGTGTTCTGGACTGGATCTAACCCTACCTGCTTATAACAGATAGAGAAGTCGAACCCAGACAACACACCAAGTCCCAGAGATATCCACAGAATATATTTTGTGGATATCCAATATATCCACAGGATATCAGAAATATTCCGTGGAACTAATATGGATATCCAAATGTCCGTCTATATCCAGAATATAGAAGATATCCTATGGATATTCAGCAAAATATCTAATGAGTATCTCCAGACAATACAAGAAATCCCAGATATATCCATAGAATATATTTTGTGGATATCCAACCAAATGTCCGTCTATATCCCAGGATATAGAAATTCAGATAAATATTTTATAATTATTTTTAGTAGAGGTTCATAAGTAACCAATGGTTATTGAATAACGTCGAAAGAAAATAGAGGTAAAAAATATTCCCAACAATCTGCCTTTGATTTTGCCTACTAAGGAGAAAATCATCCTTATTAGGAATCTTCAGCAATAAATGGAACTTCTCGACTTCAGTCTCTAATGAATTCTGTTTGTGAAACAATGTCGATCAAACTCAATTACGGCGGGTTAAGCATGAGTAGATACGAAAGTGGTATCGCCATCTATACTTAGGAAGCAAAATCAAAAATTACATCTAGTAGATATCCACGATGGTTTGCGTCCGCGCTTAGACTTTGATATATTTATATTTATAGTGGATGTCCATGGGATATTGAATACACCTTAAAAAAAATTAATTTTAAATATCTCAACGGTACTATTAGCCACAATGGCGAGTACAATGGCGTAATTTTTTAATAATTTGCTATATAATTACAATTATTTATGGACATTTGCATGTCTATAAATTACATTTCATGGATATAAAATAGATATCCACCATGGACTGGACATTCAGTGGATATTGAGATGTTCAGTAGATATCCAAAGGATTTGGTGTGCTGTCTGGGAAGATATTATTTTGGAACAATAATATATTATTTATTTCCATTGTCCGTGGCCGCGGGTAAGAAATTGGGTTTCCTAAAATAGGCAAGGTTTAATCTCTTTGTCTAACTTCCTGACGCTTTATAAAATCCAAATAAAACATCGAATATGTACTAATATTAAATATTACTAATTCATATGACTGCGGAAGTTTCATATTTCAAATTTTTGGCACGTTGCGACTTGGAACGCGCGCCTTGGCATCGACAAAATCAATTTAAAGACTACAGTTATAGGTGACCAACAATACACATCGGGGAAATTCAAGTTGCCTAAATTAGGATCCCTCTAATTTAAAAACTAGAAAAATGAGTCATGTCTTGTATTATAAAATACGTATATTTCTTTTAGCAAAGTAGGCCAACGACTTGTTTAATTTTTCTCAAATTATCTTTTGTTTAAATAAATCCACTGGGATAAGTGCAAACCACAAATTTGGATTGAGGAGATAGGAAACGGCTGTTTTCCCCGGTGTTTCAAAATAAGCATACCATGTAGGACGCCATGTTTGCAATTTAAGCGTATCACGCACATGTGCAGTTGCTGTTGTTTTTCGACATAAGTGTCATTTATGTCAACTCCTCTTGGTTTTTTTTGCTATTTGAGAGAATTTAAAAGAATTTCAGAAGTTTTTACTATAGACAATTATTAATAAAATGGGAAAGACATGCTTTGTTTTTAGTTGTTTAAACAACGAGGATTCAGGAAACATTACATTCCACAAGTAAGACATCTTATCTACCAGAACCGTATTCTTTATCACATTTTTTAAACTAAATTTTCATTTTCTAGAAAACGAAATGTAGTACAATAACAAACTGTATGTAGGTATCTAACGTTGATATTGTTATACATTTTTTAGATTGAGAAAAAAGCGTATGATTCTTGGTTAACAGCATTTTCATAAAGATGATTTAATCGTTTCAAAACGAATAGAGACAATAAATAAATAATAATGCAATTCCTTCTATAAATCTGATAATTCCAACGACAAATTTGAGCAAATGATTGCAGTTGCTGGTCAATCTCTGAATCATTTAGAGAAAAAGAAAATAAAGGAATTTCTTCGACGATATCGTGACATTTTTGTAACAAAAGGAGGAAAAACAGAAAGAACTTCTGTTGTAAAACACAAAATTGACACTGGTGACGCCAGGCCGATTCGTCAATCAGCTCGAAGATTACCAAAGGCCAAGAGAGAGAGGAAGCTGAAAACTAGCTATGCCAAAGATAGAGAGCAACCAGCTGAATTGGAGGATCATTAGAAACATGGTGGAAGTAATATTCCAAGATACCTAGGTTGAAATACTGGTCTGCAGTCATTCCCCGAGCGTTCAGGTTATAACGAAGACTCTCCCTTGTTACTTCCATGCAACTGGAAATTGTAAAAGAGGATCCAGTTACAAATACAACCATTCAGTTTTAGTTCCAGAAGGAACTATTTCTTAAGGAGGGGGGGCAATGTCATGGGAATTCCTAGGCCGTCTCTGTCTAAGCAAGCGACCTTCAAGTCTGTGCCACTCGACTCATGCTCGAAACGACGGAATCTTCTAGGTATGCCGCTGACGCTTCGAGAAACTGCTAGAACGGGCGGTGCGTGCCGTTGAGTCAGAGATGGAATCTTCGGGAGCGTCTAGAGACTCGTAGCAGAGTTGGACTTGGTATAAATAGCCCGACTTATCGGCGGACAGTTAGTTGAGAATAAAGTGTTGGACAGAAAAGTTAAATTGTAATAAATAAATTAGAATTGTGAGTTAGTACCTAAGTATTATATAAATTAATTAGTACGTCATAAATAAATTGTAAATAGTGTGTTTTAAATAAATAAACTATCAATAAATTAAACTATCGTTACACTACGATTACTTCTGTACTATGACATTAAGAATCTTAGGGTCGATTCCACCGTTGTGTTAAACGGGGATTAAGATGACATTGTTAATGTAAAAATATAATTTTAAACTTCGTTTAACACAACGGTGCAATCGGTCCTTAATGGCATAGAGAATTTCTTGTTTTCATTTATTTTACGTTTTGGTCACATTTAAGTTTGGATTTATTTTCCTTTTTTAATAAAATATTTGACCAGATGTTTCTAATAAGTTTTAAATTTACTAAAGAATATGTCCATGATCAGTTAATTATTTTGATTGATGATTCTTAATGTATTCTCAAGTGCATGTCATATAGTACTGTGGAACGATATTACAAATATATTTGAATTCCTTAGTTTTGTAGTTTTTATATGAAATAAAATATTTTCAAGATCTGAGCGAATACAAAATCATAGTTTTTAATATAAAAGTTCTGTTAAAATCACGTGATTCCAGATTTATTTGCTTAAAATATATTACGGCCTTGGATTGTTGTATTCATATTTTTAGAAATCTCTTAAAATCCATAAAAAAAACTATGGTTATTTATGGTTATTAGTTCTATTGTGTAATTAAATCCTTAATATTTTCGATTTTTTTTTAAATGTGTTAGTCCTATCCTGTACACTTCAATATGCAATCAATGCGCAAGTGCGTAGGTCGCTATTTTTTACAAGATGGCCGCCTTTAATTCTACGTGAATTCTACGCGCCTTATGAAAATGACATTTCTTATCTCCTCTATCCATGTCTGTGTTTTAAACAAAAACATAACCTGTCTCTAACCTTACATTTTTGATATTTAGTTTTCAATAATCTAAATTAAATGATCTGTCAAATATGTTTTCAAAAAAATCTGCGAATAAATCCCACAACAAAAACCTAGAACCGCCGCCGAAGGGTGCCATTTTGACTCCGCCTGAAAATTTATATATTCCGGAATCTCATTTTGTACCGGAAAATCAGTACGTACCCGAGCAGCAGCAGCAGCCCCAACCGCAGCAGCAGTACATTACTGATCAGCAGCAACAGTATATGCCTGCGCAGGATAATTCCTATATGCCCGGAGAGGGAACTGGTTATTTACCGCAGGAATCAGCTTATTTACAGCAGGAGTCGCCTTACTATTCCCCTGAACAGCAACCTCAAGGAAACCAACAGATGGACTCTTCGGCCAATATGGGGCAACAACAACAGCAGCAGTACCCAAATACCATCAATGCATCACAGCTGTACCACAACTCCAACGCTTCCCAACCACCGCATATCGTGAATCCATCGCAACCCCCGCACCCCAACAAGCCTTCCGAGAGCCCTTCACAATACATGCCCCCCAACATGCCCCAGAAGGCCAGCAACAGCATGATCTACCCCATCGACTCTGTAAATGTTAAAATCCTCTTCGACGGTTACTCCAAATTTGTAGATGGCGACTATTTCGCCAACTGCACGTGTTCCTTGATCAAAGGCGGTCCCAATATCGTCATTGATACCATGACGGTTTGGGATGAAGAAAAGTTAGTACGTTCTCTGAGGAATGAAGGGCTTAGTTGTGATGATATTGATTTTGTGATCTGCACCCATGGTCATTCAGATCATACAGGGTGCAATCATTTGTTCAAGAATGCTATACATATAGTGGGATTCAGCATTTCTCACAAGGATCAGTACTATTTGCATCCAGATTTCAGACATGGTGAGGAGTTTAACATCGATCCCAGCACAAATGCTATAAAAATTATCCCGACGCCGGGACATACATTACAGGATGTCACCATTTTAGTGTACACTAACATTGGGGTCATTGCCATCACTGGTGATCTATTTGAGAAGTCTGAGGACTTGGACAATGAGTATGAATGGTTACAGGCCGGCAGTGACAATGCTAGTTTGCAGAGACGCAACAGGCAGAAGGTGTTGGAGCTGGCCGATTACATCATACCAGGACATGGTCCAATATTCAAAGTGCCTGATAGATTTAAGAAGATTATAGATAACAAGGCTGGCAACTCTGCACCCTTACTGGGTTATTGATTTGTTTTTGGATACATAAAATTAGGGGCAGGTACAAATTTTTGTTAAAAAAAAATGATCAAAGATATGATAAAATGTGTGATTGGGAATGTTGTGGCATTTTGTTATATGTTAATGGGTGACTTTTGAATATTCAACTGGGACTTGTTATTAGGTGACATTTGAATATTTGCTGGCAACTTGGTATCAGTCGATTGTGGACTTTTTCTATCATCCTTAACTTTAAAATTAATTGTATATAGTAACAGGAAAATATATTTGTCTTGACATTTTGAAGTTTGTTTTTTTTTTTATTTAAAAACAGATGTTTTTTAAATATTTTAATGGCATTAAGACCCATTCGCATTACTAGTCATTAAGAAATAAGCCAAGTTTAAAATGGACATTTTTTCATTAGCAAGGTCATTTTAAGCTTTGCTTATAGTTTAACCACTAGCGGTGCACATGGTCCTAAGAGGTTTATAATTAAAAAGGATCAGCATTAAGATAATCTCATCAACTCAAAAATAAAATAAAAAATAATGTTGGTTTGTCTTAGAAGTTTTGTATTACAGTGATATGCAAATGTGTGATAAATTTGTCCAAAGTTAGAGATAAAGTAATTAAATTTTACAGTTCAAAATTATGGATGAAGGGTGATAGATGAAGACTATTTTCTCTTCTGATAGTTTTAATTAGTGGTAGGTCGCTCAGAAATGTTCACCGACAAAGGCAATATACAGGGTGTCCCGAAATTAGGCGGTCATATTTTAACAGCGTAATCTACATCCGAAAATAGGAGTAAAAGTTCATATAAACATAGGTCCGAAAACGTTTCATTTTTGAGATACAGGGTGTTACAAGTGAAGTCCTGATGGCACATTTTTGTAAATATTTTCTAAAATTTCTCACATAAGCAGACATGCTAGAGGGGATTAACCTCGGGATTAACGTTTTTAAAAAAACAGGAAGACCTCCAATATTTTCTACGGAAGAAGAGGAACGGTTTGTCAAATACGTAAATATTGTGGCAGCATGGGGATTTCCCTTGGATAAAAAAGGTGTAAATGAGACTTGTTTAAAGGATAATTTACCCGGTAGAGATTGGGCTTTTGCTTTTCTTAAACGACATCAAAGGCTTATATCGAACCGTCTATCATCCAATATTTCTACAAAAAGGGCTTCACTTTCGCCAGAAGTTATTGATATACTTTTTTAGATAATGCCAGAGATACGTTATTAGCGGTGGATCCTAGTCTCATGATAAATTTTGTTGAAACGAACTTAAGTGACAATCCCTGGAATAAAAAATATATTTATAAAAGAGGATCGAGGTATCCCGAAAGGGTCATAAATTCGACCAAAACAGCAATAACTCTAATGTATACCGGCACTGCTGATGGGCAGTTATTACCAGTTTATGTAGTATATAAAAGTGAGCATCTTTGGAACTCATGGACCGAAGGAGGCCCTAAAGATGCCAGATATAATCGATCCAAAAGCGGGTGGTTTGATGCCACTTGTTTTCAAGATTGGTTTTTTACGGTGGTATATAGTTCCGTTTTTTAGAAACAAATCCGGAAAAAAGGTACCTAAGTGCCTAGGTATAAATAAGAGAATTAGCTAACTCATCCAAATTTAATTTTTATTTTAGGCTCTCATCAGGGACAACTTGTCTTCCCACTTTTCCAAATATGTCCTTAAAACATGCAAAGAAATGGATATTGCATTTATATGCTTGCCAAGCAATGCAACTCACGTCATGCAGCCACTGGACGTCGCGTTTTATGCTCTACTTAAAAAATATTGGCGCGAAATTCTGACAACGTGGAAGAAAGGCCAAGGGAGGAAAATGACTACACTCTCAAAAGATGTATTTCCTAGAATGCTTACACAGCTTCAAGACAAGATTGAAGAGAATGGTAAAGGAAGGCAAAATTTAATATCTGGTTTTGCCAAAACTGGATTGCACCCTTTAAATCCTTTACGTCCAAAGGAAAGATTACCTTCATCTTCCACCACAAGACATGTTTTCAAATAGCCCCACCCTATGAGGTAATTTGAAAAGACACTGAAAAAATTTTTTTGGGCTCCCAAAAGAAGGCGTCCTCAGTCCAATGTAGGTGATAAATTGCCCTATCATAGGTCTTTTTAATGTTACTATAAAATTGACCAGGTTTAGAATTGTTTTAAAGATATTACTAAAAATCCTTTAGCCCCATTCTACGGTAATGAACGTTAAACGATGATATTGCATTACTTGAGATACCACCACACTCGACTTTTTGCCGTTTCTAAGGCATGACATGCGGAACAGTTAAAGGTCAACGCTGTTGGCATCACTATAATAAAAAACGCTGCTTCTGAATCTGTATCGAACTCACGACACTGTTAACTTTCACCGCCTTCAGTCGCTCTGTGCTCTTGTCCACAGATAATTTTAAGAATTTAAATGAAAAAGCTAGGGAAGAAAAGTTCCTTGTTCCTCGCAATATGTATTTCTATATGCGACCGGTTTCGAAGTTTAGAACTTCATCTTCTGGCACGTCTAGCGGCTAAAACAAAAATGGCGAAGTTCTATTGGGTGCAGAAAGAAAACATGATTTAATATTAAGATACAAAGACTTTTCTTCCCTACCGTTTTCATTTAGAGGCGGACTCCAACGGCTCGTAGTTCGGCGAATCACGAATCCAGTTGGTCAAGCTCCGTGCCATGGAAATGGGCAGACGCATCATCTTTGGCGTGGCTTGGTCTTTCCTGCATGTCTAGGCCGACAGAGTATTGTAGGTCTCGAGCCGGAACTCCAACACGTCGGGGGATCTCATTCACTTGCAGAGCCTTGATTATCGAGCTAGCCAAGGCTCGCCAAACCGCATGCCATGGAAATCTGCCTTTACACATTGCTACCCCCGTTTGGATTTAAGAATTTGTTACTAGATATAGTTAATAAGGATTCAAACTGCTGCTGATAGAATGAAATAATGCAATAGATTCAATTTTTAATGACCAATTATATTTTGAAAAGTGTAAGATATAAACAACCTTCACTAAACGTGTGCTAACTTAAACTTGTCCAAATATATAAGGAATCAATATGCAGCAGTCATTCAGATTTTAGCATATTTTTTAAATAAAAGGCTCAGCAATTGTAAGAATTTTCATGGAACATGGTCAGAAATGGTCACACACTCCTTTGGCTAATATCACAACAAGCATTGAATTAAACTCAAAGAAAAACAGCAAAGATAAAAATGTACTTTTATTTTGCTAAGAACGTCATTCCTTCTCGCCGGGCCTTTATTCCACCTAGTTTTTTTAACCGAGTAATGCAGACAGGCTTTGATTTTGCTTACTAAATGTAGATAACGTTAATTCTGACTTATTAATTTCACACAATTGACATCCAAGTATAGCAGTGAATTTTATGCATCTGCAGATTTCATTAGAGATTTGAATCGAGAATGTATATTGCTTTCTAACGAGTCCTAACAAGTACAAATCGCGGTCCAAGAAGAATGTTCTCCATAGTAAGCAAAATCAAATTTACTGTTGAAAAATAATTTTCTCTGCCGTTTTTCTTTGGATATAATTCAATGCCTGTTGAGGGTATCAGCCAAAGAAGTAGTTGTTTCCTCGTATTATTTGTGGCTAATTGCTTTGAGATTTTTTTATTGAAATTAAATAATAGTTACAGCAGTTACCGTTTGCAAGAGAGATAAATGTCATCTGGCTGAAATTATGAAGTTCTACTTAACCTATAACAAAAATGCAAATGAAACAAAATTTTGATTTTCATAATTTATTTAAATTTTAAAATGTAAAATATAAAATATCACTTAGCATTCCTATACAAAATATGTACTTATTGATAAATTTACACAACAGTTAAAATATTTATTATTAACATTAATTAAGGCACATGTTTTATCTCTCTCAAAAAATACTTCCTACAAATTATTTAAAAACTGATACTAATAGGCGCCAATTAAACAATTTTGACATGCACATGTCATTAAACTATCAAATATCATTTCGACTTTCATGTATATACATAATTTAATTAGAACATTTATTACAAAAAATATAATGAAATAAAAATATTTCAAATTTAATAAAATTCGAACTATGTGTACATTCCTATAATCGAGTCACAAACTACAAGGTTTAAGTAACTGTTTCAAATTGTGGATTTCATATAATGCCTCAAGGGCAGCCAAAATGACAATCGACATTTGGACAATTAAATAAGTTTCAACTCGAAAAACTTAATTTTAAAATACCAAAATGTTTAGTATAAAACCAGTTACTGTCATTTTGGACATTTAATATAAATCTAAAGTTATAACCTTTCAAATATCATACTAAAGACACACATTATTTGAATAGGTTACCATTAATGTATGGACACTAAAAGGAGCACAACAACTTTTGGAAGATAAACAAAAGAAAAGGACAAACGAAACTTGATCTCAAAATGCAAATAAAATAGTATGTTAAGATACTTAAAGTAACAGAAAACGTCCAAATTTGACTTCAAAACTTGTAGGAATGCGAAAAATAGAGTACAACAAAATTAAGCCCCGCACATATCACAAGCATCCCTATTCTGCAATGAACATACCAAACTCGCCATATTGTTCTCTTCCTCTTCCCTCAGCTTCTTCTTCATCTCTTCTATATCATCTTCGACTTCAACGACAGCAGCACTTTTACCAACCTTCTGGAACACTTTAGGCGCAGATTTGGTCTTCAACTTGTTCATTCCTGTCTTTAAACCGTACCGCCAACCATAGAAGTGCATCGAAGTTAAACTACCGTAGTTCGGATTCATGATATGAATGTTTATGCTTTGTGATTGGTCGATGAAAGCACTTCTATCTACGGCCATGTTGACGACACTCTTTTGAGACACTTCCCAAGCCGTTCTGTACACGGCTTTCAAATCCGCGGGGATTTCCGCGATATTCTGTATAGAACCGCCGTTTGTAACAATTGCTTCTTTGATTTTGTCGTCCCAGATGCCTTTATCATCCAGATCTCTCAGTAAGTAGGGGTTTACGACGGGGAATTCTCCGGAAGTCACTCGTCTGGTGAAGTAGAACGACCGATAGAGGTCGACAGATTCGCTATTGCCAAATAGTCTGGATAATATCGGAGCGTACATTTGGGAAACTAGCAGCGAGTTACGAACGCCTGATTTGGCAATACGTTGTTTTAGTGTTGTCCAGTTCCATAGGGCTGATGGGGTGACGTTCCACATATCGTACTGGAGAATACCTTGATAATAGAATAAAAAATAAAGACAAATAAAAATTGGTAACAGATGGATCATAAATAAGTTATAACATGAATGACACGAACAGAAGCAATTGAGTTTGATTTACATTATAAATTAAATTTTGAGCAGAAATTGAAAAACGTATACTTCCTATCACCTTTAAGGTTTAAGTTCATCAATTTGGTATGTACAAATTGAAAATAGTGTTGAAGTGTAGTGTGACAATAGATAGATTTTTGTACTTTCGATATTTTGTACTTTCAATATTCTGTACTTTTGATATTTTGTACTTCCGACTATTTATAATTTTGATTAATTCGATTCGATCATGGAAGAGTTAATATTGATAACTTGATAAAATATTGCTGACAATGTTCCGAAGGATAGGCTCCTATCATGCATCTAATAATTCTTATTTGCAAGAGAAAGACTTTATTCATATGGGCCGAATTTCCTCAGAAAATCAAGCCATATGAAAGTACGGAATGAACTAGTCCGTAGTAGGTTAGTTTTAGTACATCTAAAGTCACAGTTGGTTTAAGTTGTCTGATGATAAAGCAGATGCTACAAGTATTCCTTATATTCCCATAAATCTATGTATACTTTTATTATTTTGTTTAAGCCAGAAGCTTTATTAACCCTAAGAAACTAATTAAAACTAAACTTATCTATTACCCACTAGACTTTAACAAGTGTGTTGAAACTTGTACCTTACCTTTGCTTACAGGGCTGCCTTCATATGTGGGATAAGGTCCATTCAACTCTGCCAAATCGCAGCTAGCCTCAAGAGCCCCATAGTACACAGTCTCGAAAATCTGCTTATTCACAGCCTTGGCTTCATCACTATCAAACGATATATGCATCAAAATGAAAACATCTGCTAATCCTTGAACACCAACACCAATAGGACGATGATTCAACAAAGAAACCTGCTCTTCAGTCAGAGGATTAAAATTAACATCGATGATCTTATCCAAATTTTTAGCTACGATCTTAGCAACGTCTTTCAATTTAACAAAATCGAAACTTTTTTTATCGGGACTAACGAACATGTTTACAGCTATAGAGGCTTGCGGACACGAACCGATTTCTTTGGCCGACGTGTATTGTACCACGTCACCGCTGAAACTACCCCCTCGGATCGTACCGACGTGTTGTTGGTTACTTTTTCTGTTGCAAGCGTCTTTGTACATCATGACTGGCCCTCCGGTTTCCGCTTGAAGGACGATGATGGCCCTCCATAGATCTTGAGCCGGGATTTGTTTTGTGTATCTACCTGCAGAGCAAAGAAAATAAAGTTTAATCCAGAAGCAGCGAGAAAAAGTTTTGCACTGTCAGTCCAAATAGTCCATGAAAAAAAAAAGGAAAGTTTCCAGAAAAACTTTTCACGCGATTGTAATTCATTAATCGTTAGGTGACTATAAAACAAGCTTAAAACCAAATTTTCGAAATCCCTCTCTTGGCATTTTGTTACTACTATTTTCAAAACCAATTTTCTGCCAAAAACCTTGTGATATCGCTCTATATTAAGATTCACGATTAATCATATTTGTTTTTGTAGAAATAGAGATTTGTGTGTGAATAGTTAAAATTTAGTACATGGAAATGTCATCTTTTGACGAGAGGATAAGTAATTCATGCCCAATCTGCCTCTCTTCTATTTATAGCCTCGAATTGTCTGTTGGAGAGTAGTTTAAAGTTTGAATTATATTGATTAGATTTCTGAGCCGAATATAGGCAATACTATAAAACAGTGGGATACTATTATGCCAGCGACCTATTAGACACCTTCCAACGCTGTGAAATACATGTTTTGAATGAATGAATCTTTATTTAATATAGAAAGTCCTAATACATAGTTTTTTTTAAAAATATTACATATTATCGTCAGTTTGCACAAATTCAGTTGAATAAATAAAATAAAATCTTGATAGAATTAGTAATAAAAGTAAGACGTTTAGTACTAAAGTTAAAATAAAATAAATACATATTAAACTAAACATACAAAGTTAATTTAGTTAATTTAATTTACGGACTGGAAATAAATTGTATTAAACATTTTTTAACATCTGCCATTTTCAACAGAATGCATAGCAGGTAGTATTGTTCAAGTTGTGTTGTTATGTGGTTGTACTGGCATACTCACTTCTGAAAAAAGACGGAAATGTACCATTTGAAGTTGCTAGCAGAACCAGAACCGGAAAATCTGTAAAATTTAGTGACCTGCGGATGCAAAACAAACTGCGTGCAGATGCAGGTCTTCAGTGCATGGTATGTAAGAACTGTGAAGGATGAAAGTGTAACAAGATATTGTTATTCAATTTAGAAGATAATAATGTTGAACAACCTCTGTCTCATGTCATGTAATCAATGTTGAACGAAGGCGACTGTTGGGAAGAGAAGTGATGCCAAAACTATGCAATACATCAGCAACGACGAATTGTCTGAAGAACCAGTAAAAAATTAAAAGTAGAGTAAAAAATGAAGTTGAAATATTGTAAAAGTTTCATTTTCCTTGTCTCTAAAATATGCTTTTGGATCTCAAATAATGTGCACTTTTCATTTATTCACTATTGCACATATATGTACGAATATTAAATATTGTTCAAGTTGAAGTCCACCTGTTCTGGCTTCACGTCACCTCAAAAAACAATGTATTCAAAACTCTCATTGCTCTATCTCCGAAAAATATATATCAATTTTGGAGATATTTCAGAGCCAAATAACTTTTACATTTATTTTTAGCAATAAAAAAATTAAAAATATTTTTGGGTTGAAAATGTGAAAAAGTTTTCAAGAAATTTGGCGCCCCCTACTTTTTGCATTTATTATCATAGTGTAGTAATCCAATGAGATAAATTGTAAAAATATTGTTAACTACAACTTTTGTACAAAACATTTTCTACTATGACTCATATTCTCTGGTTTCAAAAAAATGTTACCACACAAAACGCCAAGAGGGAATTTGGAAATTTTGTAAAGATTCTTTCTTTTATTGTCACCTATCGATTCAGGAACTACAATAGTGTAATTTTTTTTTTTTTTTTTTTTCGGAAAATAGTTACTTTTATTTTATTATTAGAAGCATATTTTACAAAAAAAAACTTTTTAATCAATACTTTCGTCCATAATATTTTACTATTGTCTAAATATTTTAGATGTTTTGTGCAATTTAATGTATTCACAATATACTATTTGATAATTATTATTGAACATTTAAATTACCTAAAATTATTAATAATATTACCTTCAGATTCGTATTGTTGATAAATCTTGTCGAACTCTTCTCCATAGGTGTCGATTAGTCCAGGACATTGATGCGGGCACATTAGAGACCACTTTCCATTAGATTCCACTCGTTTCATAAACAAATCTGGTACCCAAAGAGCATAGGATAACTCCCTAGTACGTACCTCCTCTTTACCACCAGGTTTACTTAAATTTAGATATTCTAATATATCGGAATGCCAGGGTTCTATGTAAACAGCTATTTCTGCGATACTGTTGGTGTTTAGTTGATCTACATAGCATGCCATGTTGTTGAATACTCTCAACATTGGGACCAATCCATTTGAGACACCATTTGTGCCCGCTATGTAGGTTCCTTTAGCTCTGATGTTTTGAATGTTGAGCCCTATCGTTGCTGTAAATTTAGAAGTGACACCACACAAACGTATGCAATCAAAAATACCTTCAATTGAATCATCTGGCATCATCATGGATATGCTAGAGCACATCTGAGGTTTGGGACTACCAGCCAATAGTATAGTATTGGTGGAATGTATGTAATATTTTTCCGATAAAAGATTGTAAGTATTGATAACATCATCGATGTTATCTAAATGTATTTGCACCGCTATTCTCATTAACATGTGTTGTGGTCTTTCAACTACTTTACCGTTGATTTTTAACAAGTACGATTTTTCTAGTTCTTTAAAAGAAAAATAGTTATAAGCGAAATCTCTGTCGTAGATTATACAGGAATTAAGACGTTCAGCATTTTTGGTAACGATTTTATGAATTTCTTCAGAGATTAAAGGGATTTTTTCTTGTAACGTGTCGTCATACATGTTGAATAAATCATCGATTACATCTGTTGACAAAATTGTTGTATTTGATTTTAAAACTAAATGATAAATTATTATGAAGACTAGAGATAAGGAGGCGAATCGGCATACTCAAAATACGGTCCCAAAAAACGCACGCTAATTGAGCTTTTATAATTAACCGCATGGGCGCTGGTACTGCTTACGGTGTTCAAAATACATGGCTTCTTATGGGAATTATACACAATTTTGTCAAAATAATAAAAATAAACTTGTTTATAGCTAAATAAAGCACAGAACATACTGTTGTATTTATTTCTAAATAAGTCTTGCATGTTTAAATTGATAAATTATTTAATTTTAACTATATAAAATACAAATTCAGTAGGTATGACCAAATTCGAAAAGGTTTGTTAAATGCTGAAATTTGATAAGTACAATCTTGTCGCAATTTTTTTTTGAATTGAACCTATATATAGTTTTAAGGGCAAAATAAAACACAGTTAACAGATTTATTATTGTTTTAATATAAGTATAAATGGAGTTTTGGAAATGTACATGGTATTACCTCATCCTTTAATTTCAGCTTTCCCCTTTTTATTTTGCTAAAAGTACCATCAGTAAAAATAGTCTCATAATTTTTGATATCTTCAGGTTTGTTAAATGCTAAAATTTGATAAGTACAATCTTGTGGCAATTTTTTTTTGAATTGAACCTATATATAGTTTTAAGAGCAAAATAAAACACAGTTAACAGATTTTTTATTGTTTTAATACAAGTATAAATGGAGTTTTGGAAATGTACATGGTATTACCTCATCCTTTAATTTCAGCTTTCCCCTTTTTATTTTGCTAAAAGTATCATCAGTAAAAATAGTCTCATAATTTTTTATATCTTCTAAAAAAGTATAGAACAGCATCATCTCTAGAAAGTGCATTATCGGCACTAGGAACGATATATATGCTGTCACTGTTCTAAGCGTTTAGTGTCCTATAAAAAAATGACACAATTGGGGTTCAACAAAAAAATAACAGTAGCAACTCTTTATCTAACATTTAAACTCTTTAAAAAATAAATTTTCTTTTCTAGTAAGGTAAATTTAATGTATAATTATTGTTGTTTGTAAGTCAGGATCTATGACAATAAAATTTTATATTATAGAAACTTATAATAAAATAAATTACACTCTATAAGATATATATTGTGACTAGTTTACAATAAATATTATATTTAGACATAAATATATTATTTTACTTACATTAGAAGCTTTAACAAGACATTGAATTGATTTCTTTAGTTTTACATTTGATTTGTATCCTGTTTTACAATCTGGAACAACGTAAATCTTGCTTTGATGTTTTTTGTCACTCATGTACTCAGGTACTTTTTTTTACATTATTTTGATTTTTCACCAATTTTTTAAAAAATCTCTTCATTTTACATTGACTTACATAGAAAATTGACACCGCTGTTATTCGACATGCCAACTACAGTCAATTTCGCGAACATTATAAAAAAAGGATGGAAATTTGAAATTTAACCATTGTCGATTCGCCTCCTTCTCTCTAGTCTTCATATAAATTACAATTAAATTGTTATCAATATCAAATTGGTAAGGTTTAATTCACATATTTACCTTTAATTCTATTACAAATTTAAAAAAAAAAACTTTTTTTGTTCTCCATAGAATTGCAAATGCAATAAATGAAAAATTAAGTGGTATAAAAAATCTTTTAGGAAATAAGCGGAATAATTTTTTTTATTAATATTAATAATTAAAAAGAGGATGTCAATTGTCTCTGGAACTTTAAACAAATCTAAGATTTTACAAACAATACTCAAGAGATGAGTTTTTAAGAAATTCAGTACAAATTTTTTGGAATTAATACAGTCTATTTTAAATAATTTATAAATTTTAAAACACTTTAGCTGCAGATTTGTATAACTTGTTTATAAAAAGTGAAAAAATATTTTTTCAAAACATTTAGTTTATAATAGTTTCTTGATTAAATATTCATTGAGAAGGTTCCAAAACCAAAATTTATTTTTTTTTGGAACTGTGACATTTAACTTTAAAAAACATCAATTGCTAAAATAATTTAGCTATAAATCCAATGTTTTCAAAAGTCCATAAATATTTTTTTTTCAACTTTAGTTATAATTTTGTATTGGATGTTAAATGAGAAGGTCTCAAAATCCAAATGGACTGACTATGCTTATCTAAAAGGAACCAAACGATACATTAGCAAAGACCAGTTAAATGCACCAAGCGACAGAAAAAGGTTTAATTTACTTTGTATAAAAAGATCGAATTGATAGCTCTACTCTAGTGCCATCTTTAGGCCAATGAACCATACGACACATTAGGAAACATTCTTAATTTCAATAAAGGAAACCCTGGCTCCAAATCATTTTCAAACTCATGTTTCCAGATAGCTTAATAAACATAAAATTGTGCCTATGGTTACATATTAACTATCTGACTCTAGTTCACAAAGCTGGAGTTCTCTACACTCATTATTTTAAACTCTACTACCTCAAAACTCCAATTGGGCACTTAGTTTTGTTTAAATAAAAATAGTCCAAATTTACTTTTTTTGGAACTCTTAAGACGAGAACGTATTAGGCAATCACGGTCCCGTCCTGTCTTTAGGAAAGAACTTCACCATGTGTGCTCAATACTAATGCAGACCATGATGTGATGGGACCGCGATTACCTAATGCGTTTCCACTATGAAGACTAGAGAAGGAGGCGAATTGGCATACTCCCCAAAACACGCAGGCTAATTGAGCTTTTATATTTAACCGCATGGGCGCTGGTACTGCTTATGGTGTTCAAAATACATGGCTTCTTATGGGAATTATACATAATTTTGTCAAAATAATAAAAATAAACTTGTTTATAGCTAAATAAAGCATAGAACATACTCTTGTATTTATTTAAAGTCTTGCATATTTTAATTGATAAATTATTTAATTTTGTCTATATAAAATACAAATTAGGTAGGTATGACCAAATTCGAAAAGGATGCTGAAATTTGATAAGTACAAATTTGTGGCAAAATTTTTTTGAATTGAACCTATATATAGTTTTAAGTGCAAAATAAAACACTATTAACAGATTTTTTTATTGTTGTAATACAAGTATAAAGGGAGATTTGGGAATGTACATGGTATTACCTCATCCTTTAAATTTCAGCTTTCCCCTTTTTATTTTGCTAACAGTACCATCAATATAAATAGTCTCATAATATTTGATATCTTCTAAAAAGTATAGAACAGCATCATCTCTAAAAAGTGCTTTATCGACACTAAGAAAGATATATATGCTGCCACTGTTCTAAGTGTTTAGTATCCTATAAAAACATTTACAATGACACAATTGGGGTTCAACAAAAAAAAAAATAACAGTAGCAACTCTTTATCTAACAATAAAACTATATAAAAAATAAATTTTCTTTTCTAGTTAGTTAAATTTAATGTATAATTATTGTTGTTTGTAAGTCAGGATCCATGTCTGTAAAATTTTATATTATAGTAGCTTGTAATAAAATAAACTACACTCTCTAAGAAACATATTGTGACTAGTTTGCAATAAATATTATATTTAGACATAAATACATTATTTTACTTACATTAGAAGCTTTAAAAAGACATTAAATTGATTTCTCCTTGTGTTTTCTTTAGTTTTACATTTGATTTGTATCCTGTTTTACAATCTAGAACGACGTAAATCTTGCTTTGATGTTTTTTGTCACTCATGTACTCAGGTACTTCTTTTTACATTATTTTGATTCTTTTCACCAATTTTTTAAAAAATCACTTTATTTTACATTGACTTACATAGAAAATTGACACCGCTGTTATTCGACATGCCAACTACAGTCAATTTCGCGAACATTATAAAAAAAGGATGGAAATTTGACCATTGTCGATTCGCCTCCTCTCTAGTCTTTATAGTTTCCACATTTACATATTTACAATCCTAATAATTTATAAAATAATTCTGCTTCTGAAACTTGGTAAAGTAGTTTCAGGATATATTGGGACTTGGCAAGCAATTCGTCTTCGAACATCGTGTGTTGTTTCCTACTCCGACGCATTGTAGGTGGAGTTGTTGCAATATTTCCGGAAACTACTTTACCTAAACTTTTTATAAAAAGTACAAATTTAACTGTACACACTAGTTTATCTGTACTTCTACACTAATGTAATTATTGACATTTCACTTACCGCTAAACTGTTTCTTTGTATCTTTTTGAAGATTAGAAATGGCAATTCTAGCAGCAAGTGTAGCATAATCCGGATGATCTCCACTTAAAGTTGCTGCAGTTTCTGCAGCTAGAGCATCCAGTTCTGCAGTAGTAACCCCTGGGTACAAACCATTCACCACTTTCAAGGTGATGCTCACCTAAAGCGGTAAATAATTAATTTGAGAAACCTTCTAGGTACTAATTTTGAAACGGTGACATTACGTACAATATATTAAAAAAATAAGTTGTGTATTAATACTTGTATAAATATATACTCACCGGGTCCACGTAATCCATATTTAAACCGTAACATAATTTCTGTATTCGAGAAGTAATTTTATCTATATGAACTTCTTCTTTACGACCCCCTAAAAATAAAATGTATTGTTTTTTGTTGTTGTTCTGCTTTTTACTTAACGTATTTATACCTCTCTTAACCACGTAGAATTTACTCAATGGTTTATTTACCATTTTGAAATATTAAAAACAATTCACAGGATATTAGTAGTTTTTAAAAATACAAAAATTGTATTTTACAGGCAATTGCGGAAAAATTCGCGCCAATCTAACCTATAAAGAAATAAGAAATAACGATTTTACTTCTTTTTTACACAAACATGTTGGTCTTCAACCATTCGTTCATTCATTACGGATTTAACTTGGTGAATTTTTAAATTTTTATGGGAACGTTTAAATATAAAGTATTTTAATACAATTTTATTAATAGAAGTCAGTATAAATATATAAATTTTCCTTATCAGATTAACTATTTTTTTTGTTTAAAGTTAATTAAATACTGCCTTAATCGAGACCATAATTTGAACAAAAAAAAGAATTAGATTTTATTACTGACATTACTGATCTGGCGCGAAATAAACAGAATTCTTATGTGATTTTTGAGGCCTGTTTTTGCAAGCTTTGTTTGGTATTGCAATTTTTTATAAAACTTTTCTTATTTAGTGAAAATGGTAGGAAAAACTACTACGAAGTTGTACGTTATGAAAAGAGGTAAACAATTCAGTTTAGGTTAGTAGGTAGGTATATCCTATTTTAATGATTTATAATTTTATAGATGGTAGAAAAGAGGCCATTCATGTGGATAAAATTACTTCTAGAATCCAGAAACTATGCTACGGTCTGAATATGGATTTTGTAGACCCTGTAAGTACATAAATCTGCAAAGTAATAAACACATAACTTTCTTATGGCAAATTTTCTAGTTTTACAATTATCGTTTTGTCCCATAGGTGTCTATAACTTTAAAAGTTATCAGCGGGCTTTATCCTGGTGTCACGACTTTGGAATTAGACACTCTAGCTGCTGAAACGGCAGCTATGAAGACCATTGATCATCCAGACTATGCAGTTCTAGCAGCTAGAATATCTATGTCCAATTTACATAAGGAGACCAAGAAACAATTCAGTGGTGAGTTAATTATGTATTAGAAATTGCTATATCCTTATGTTATACTGTACTACACAACTACCAATATAGTATTTGAATGCACCACTTTTAAATGAAATGTTTTAGTGATATTCAGATTTTATTACCTAATTGGACACCTCATGTACGTAATGGCTTTGATAATGGTCCTAGTTTTGATATTGAAATCTTTTTATTATAATCATTCAAGAAAATGGCTGTAAGGTTTTATCAACAAAAATGTATATTTAAAATTTTAAATATTGATATTAAAATGTAATTGTGAAAGGTGTTGCCTATATTCAGAACTGTTAAATTTTCTTAAAGAGTCACTGAAGGAAGGACTCCTTTTATTTATTTATATTTCTAGTTCTAGCTGTATTTCTTATAACTTAAATCATTAGTTATTTTAAATAAATGCTGATACCAAAGTATTAAAACATTTAGAAACATCTCAAGAAAAATGGTACAAATAATTTTAAATGCATAGGTTAATCCAGTCATTGTTTTCTGATTTTGGCTGAATATGAATAATAGTCTAAAATATAAATATGTCCTTTTTTCGAAAAAATACTTGAATAGTTACGCCATTATCTAAATGTCCTTAAAAAACCATATATTTTTTAATTATGTTAAAATTTAAAAAATATCCTAGGTTTATAAAACTTTTTTAAAAAACATGAAAAACAAAAATATTGAAATATCAAAGGATTTTAGAGAAATCTAAAAAGAAATTTGAAATTTTATAAAATCATACATCCAATGAAATCCTAAAATCATTCAAAATCACATAATTATCTTGCATTATCTCATTTTTTTTTATAAAAAAATCTAATGATATCTATCATAAGATCTTTAAATTTTCCTAAAATTATTGGAGATCTCATACATTTTCTGATTATTCTAAAATTTTTGAAAAGTCATACATTTTTTTGTTATATAATTGCAAAAATCTTAGTTTTCCAAAAATTTAAAAAAATAAAACATGACACCCAAGGACACCCTGTGATTCTAAAATTTACCAAAAATCATTAAAATTCAATGAATGTTGTAATCATCCCAAATTAAAAAAAAAAAAAACAAAATTAGTATGAATAAAGTTCAAAATCGCAATACTCTTAGAGATATGAAAAATATATTTAAAGAATGGTAGCCTGTATTTATAATAATTTTCGATTATACAGGCTGTTCAGTATCTTCAATCTGGCACAAACTTATATTTTTAAAAGGATATTGTTTATTTAATGTAGGGTTACATGGGGTATTTCCTCAGGTATTTCACAGGATTAAGCCCATTTTATATTAAAATCGATTTCAATGCCCTGTATGCTGCAAAAGAAACAATTGGAAACCAATTTATATGAGGCTACCATTGAGATAGAATCAGTGGCGGTTTGCCCGTAAAGGCACTTGGGCATGTGCCCTAGTATAATAAACCAGAAAAAAAAATAACTTACATATATATTATTTTATCTAATATTCAGCACAAACCGCGTTGGCACGACACTGGACGACCGGGCGTTGAGCGACGTTCCGAAAATTCCGATATTAAGTGGAAGATGGGCACAGTAAATGTGTGCCTCTGTTGTTTTCTCTCTCATTATGATGCGAAAAACAAGGACAACGACAATATCGCTTAGCAAGAGATGAACACATGCGATGGATTATACGTCACAAGCGGGGCGCTGTCCTTATCGTGACGTGCACAGATTACCTAGACCTTAGATAATAGACCAGATACGAATGTATGCTGCGGCATCTTTACCGGCTCCCTCAAAAAGGCGATGCCGGTTTCAGCTTAAGATGCGCGTTTGTTGGACCATGATAATAATTTATTTATTGTGATTACGAAAAAAACGTTAGTTGGACCATTGGAATAGTTAAGAAATAAAACTACAAAGAAAAATAACTTTTTTTTATAAAGCAGTCAAAAATATGATGAAAAAAAATCAATAATATTTATAAATGGAACAAAATTTTAATTTTTCTTTTGGTTTTGTCTGACTTTTTCGAGGATTTCAAATCTCTGTTTGCATATTTAAGAGTATAAAATATTCTGAGTCTTATAAATAATTTAATAGTGTACATTTTCGCAAATTGTTGGCAAGACCAAATTCTATTTTGCTCATCTCAAAAAGGTATGCTTTGAAAATTCCAGGCTTAGTTGACAAAATTTGGGTAATTTTGTAGGGTCCGAGATTGCATTTAGAAGAACACAGCTACATCATAACCATTACTTCGAATTTCGAATGCATATTATCTATAACTTTCAATAAACAAAAATTAAGTAAGTTGTTAGGTGTAAAACAATATTTCCTATATTTCTATAATAATAACACACCACTAAACCCCCATTAGACGGCGATAACCAATTAATTACGTTGCCAAATGATGACGTAGCTGTGTTCTTCTAATTGTAATCGGACCCTAGTTGGCAGGTCTAGAAATACGCATGTTCACACCACTCTGCACTGACGTCTAGAATTTGAATTTGCACAAGCCACGTTGCCAAATCTCCACTTTCATTTTAGCTTGCTTTATTTCATAGTTTATTTTTTAACCAAATTGTAACCTCTGTACATGATAAATAAATATAAAGATTTATATTATATTTTAAAATAACAATTCTGTTTTGTTTTATAAGACAGTTTTGATATATTTTATATTTAAACTTTGTAATTATCACTATTGAAGGGTATTATTGACCTTAAAAATAATGATCGTATTACTTGAAAATCTTTAGAACATTTTTTATTTTTATGGGATTTTTAATCGATGTAAAAAATTGGTAAATAGATCATTAAAAGTAAAATAGTTATTTGAATATGCTTATTCCCTGGTTCCAAATAATTAAATATAACCTGGCAACTATGTAACGATTCCAACTGGCAGAACTAGCTGGAACAAGATTGGTGTGCACAGGCGCATTCCCAGACCCTTAAACTACAACATTACCATTTGGGTTGCAATGCCAAGTTAACAACCATAAAACAAGTAGTAACAGACTCAAGCGTTTATCAAAAAATTTGTTAGTTATGTCTTTCTTCTCTTCTATTAAGGTTTTTTAAGAGTTTTTTTGGCCTGAACACTCAATTTTAGTGGGTTTGCTAGCGAATTATCAGATAGGCCCCCGTAAAAAATTCATATAGATATGTATAAAACATGTTTTTACATGTATTTGGTGTTAATTTTTACCTGTAAGCATTTATAACGTTCTCAGATTATGAGGTACATGCTGGGTATATGACTTTTAGTATCTTCTAAGAATGTCCTGTTATAGCACGTGCTCAGTATATACTTTTGAGAATATTCTTTTGAGGCACATACTCAGTATATACTTTTTAGAATATACTTTCAAAGCACGTACTCAGTATATACTTTCTAGAATATAATTTCAAAGTATATACTAGGTATGTTCTAAGAACATTCTATAATGGACATACCAAAAAGAACATAGACAGAACGTTGTTAGTATATTCATAGAACATTGATGTTATGTGGGTTTGTTACTAATTTTTTTGGAAAGATCCCAGCTCTGCCAGCCCAATCACCCGACCTCGCACCCGACTTAATTAAAATTTACTTTTTTCTGGGGTTATGTTAAGGATCTAATGTATACATACATTTGTATTTCAAAGTAGTTTAATGCTTAGAAATTAAGTTGAGCCTTTGAAAATCTTCAGACAGGCCACTTTTAGCAACTTTTCTAATTAAATAAAATTTGCAAAACTGAAACTAACTAAACTTGAAACAAATAAGGTATTTGTGGTTTTGTAATTTTTATTTATTTTGTCAACTGAATGTAAAAGTCACATAAAATATTGTCAGAAACTTATTCATTCGATAATTATTAACAATAACAATTTTCTATTAATCAGCGACCAGTTGAAATTACATTTTTTTCTGAAATATCTTTTTTATAATTAAGTTAAAAATCTCTTAAATCTTTAACTTTTGGTCATGTTCGAGTCAAATTAAACTATTTTTAGGGTACCATGAATAATGAAAAAAATGGGTGGTCAATTAAAAAAAAAAGATGTATTTGAATGAGTTTTGACTCACCCTGTACACACCATTTATTTTGCAGTTTACAGGTTATTGTATTCAATACGATTTTCATACAGAACTAGTTATGTATATCATGTGTAATACCCTATGTAACTCCATACCACTTAAAATTGTTATAATGGGAAAGCCAGTGTAATTCAAATATAAAATAAAATGCAAGGCGATCCTCTTAAAAAAACACAAGTTTGTACCAAACTAAAGTATAATCAAAAATAATTTTAAAATATAGAGTTTAATGCTGTCTACCATTTTGTAAATATATTCTTTATATATCTGATAGCATCACACTATATAACGGGTCTGCGTATAAAGGCAAAAATAAAATAAAAAAACATTTTTTTATTTTGCATTGTTTTGAAAATGTTTGAAATATTCAAAACATATTTCTTATAGAGGTCGTTGCCGACTTATACAACATGGTAGACTCCCGCACCCACAAACACACGCCAATGATATCTGACTACCACTACGACATCATCATGAAAAACGCTGACAGGCTCAACTCCTGTATCATCTACGATCGCGATTTCTCATACAGCTACTTTGGCCTAAAAACCCTAGAGCGCTCTTACTTACTAAGAATCAACGGGAAAATCGTCGAACGCCCCCAACACATGCTTATGAGGGTCTCCGTCGGCATACATGGAGAAGACATCGAAGCCGCCATCAAAACTTACAATCTTTTATCGGAAAAGTATTTTACGCACGCTAGTCCTACGCTTTTTTCAGCTGCTACTCCTAAACCACAGTTGTCTTCCTGTTTTCTTCTGATGTTACCAGAGGATAGTATAGAAGGGGTATTCGCGCTGTTGTCACGTTGCGCTTACATCTCCAAATCAGCGGGCGGCATCGGCATCAATGTACACAACGCTAGAGCTAAAGGTACGCTAATAAAAGGCACTCATGGTAAATCTAAAGGTTTGGTACCGTTGTTAAGAGTGTTCAACAACACTGCTAGGTACGTAGACCAAGGTGGCAATAAACGACCAGGAGCCTTTTCCGTATACCTTGAACCTTGGCATGCTGATATAATAGATTTCTTGAATTTGAAGAAAAATACCGGCAAAGAAGAATTAAGAGCAAGGGATTTATTTTTTGCATTATGGATACCGGATCTTTTTATGAAACGTGTTGAAGCTAACCAAAATTGGTCGCTCATGTGCCCGCATCTATCGCCAGGACTATCAGATTGTTACGGTGACGATTTCGAGCAACTTTACGAGAAATACGAAGCTGAAGGCAGGTACGTCAAGCAGCTACCGGCTCAAGAACTTTGGAAGGCTATAATAGTATCCCAAGTTGAAACCGGAACCCCTTATATGTTGTACAAAGATGCGTGTAATAGAAAAAGCAACCAACAAAATTTGGGTGTGATCAAAAGCAGCAATTTATGCACCGAAATTGTTGAATATACGGCCCCCGATGAGATAGCTGTGTGCAACCTAGCTTCTATAGCTGTAAATATGTTTGTAAGTCCTGATAGACAAAGTTACGATTTCGTTAAATTAAAAGAGATCACCAAAGTGGTTACTAATAATTTAGATAAAATCATTGACGTTAATTATTATCCTGTACCTGAAGCTGAGACTTCCAATAAACGCCATAGACCTGTAGGAATTGGTATACAAGGATTAGCAGACGCTTTCATTCTAATGCGCATGCCTTTCGACAGTGCAGAAGCTAGTTTGCTTAACAAGCAAATTTTCGAAACCATATATTATGGTGCCTTGGAAGCTAGTTGTGAGATAGCTGCAATTAAAGGTACTTATTCGACTTACCAAGGTTGTCCTGTCAGTAAAGGTGTTTTACAGTACGATATGTGGGACGTTACCCCAACAGATCTATGGGATTGGGCTGCACTGAAAGCTAAAATAGCTAAACACGGTGTCAGGAATTCTCTACTGTTGGCACCGATGCCAACAGCTTCAACAGCTCAAATTTTGGGAAATAATGAGTCGATTGAACCGTACACTTCGAATATCTACACCAGAAGGGTCTTATCGGGTGAATTCCAGATTGTTAACCAGCATTTAATTAACGATTTAACCGATAGAGGTCTCTGGGACGACACCATGAAGAATCAGATCTTGGCTAATCTCGGTTCTATCCAAAATATCCCTAGCATACCGGACGATTTAAAAGGTATTTACAAAACCGTTTGGGAGATATCACAGAAGGTGATTTTAAACATGGCCGCCGATAGAGGGGCTTTTATAGATCAAAGTCAAAGTTTGAATATACATGTAGAGAAACCAAATTATGGAGTTTTATCTTCGATTCATTTTTACGGTTGGAAAAAAGGGTTAAAAACCGGTATGTATTATTTGAGGACGAAAGCTGCAGCTAAGCCGATACAATTTACTGTTGACAAGAATAAATTGTTTGTTAAAAATGAGCAAAATGGTGAGGCGGAAATTGTGCAGAACGGTGAAGCGAAGGTTACGCAAAATGGTGAAGGCGAAGTGAGGCAAAATGGCGATGCTAAGGTTGTGCAAAATGGAGAATTGAGTAATGGAATAAAGGAACTGAAAATAAATGGTAATTAATATGTAAGTTCGAAATAAACAAATTATAATAACATTGTGATAAAGTAGTAGAATTTTAAGTTAGTAACGTTTTATACTATGTGTCGAGTGCCTTGTAAGTTTTTTGTGTAAGAATTAAAACTGTCCAAAGATAAAAACCCTTTTTAGATAATTAATTTTTAATAATTATGGTATTTTTTAAGAAGCATGGTTGAGTTTATTTTTCGCCTATTAGAAAAATGCAGATTTTTGTGAAATTCTAGAATTGTTCTAAAAATATAGATATTTTCGAGAATTGAAAAAAAAAAAGAAATGAAAATATTAAAATAGTAAAAAAAGGTATACTCCTGGAAAGTTTGTAAAAGAACGATTTTTTTTAAAAATAATTAAAATTTTTATAAATTTCGTAAAAAAAAAAACAAAAATTGTAAACCTCCAGAAGTCGTGAAACATTTAAAATTTTTCAGTGTAAAAATTCGTTTTCAAAAATTCCTAAAAGTATATTATACGATCAGAAAAATGAGAATTTGTTAAAAATTTTCTGATTAAAATAAACGGTTTTCAAAATATTTTCGAAAAGGTATCAATTTTTTTAATATGTAATTTCCAAAAATTTTTAAAAATTATTTTTGCAATCCTAAAAAACATTACACAATTTTTTTTTTAAATTGACCTATATTTTTGAAAATGTTAGTTAAATATGCCGTAAAAGTTTAAAAAATCATCGAATACAAAATTTTTAAAATTCCAAATTATTTCTGATGCAAAAATAGAAATCAACCTAATTGCTTTATTTAGAAAATTAACTTTTACTTTTTAATTTTAGTTAGGCCAATGTTTTTTTGATAATTATAAGTAAATAATAAATGGTATATACTTTGTGTTAAAAATGTGTAAAAAAAAATTGTGACTTTCTCATAAGGATCACTATTTTTTATAATAAAAATATCGTAAAACTAATATATGGCGCCTTATACATTAACTATTTTTTTTTCTATTTACATTTAATGTTTAGTTTATATAGAATACGATTTAAATTAGGAATGTTTTATATATTTAGTATTTTTTACTATAGACCCCCCTATTCTCGTCAATTAATAAAATTTTAATTCATAGATGTGTTTTTTTAACCAACGTATAGTTATATAAATCGAATAATCGAATAATCGAAAAATCGAAAAATCGAAAAATCGAAAAATCGAAAAATCGAAAAATAGAAAAATAGAAAAATCAAAAATTCAAAAAATCGAAATATCGAAAAATCTAAAATTTAAAAAATCGAAAAATCGAAAACTCGAAAAATTGAAAAATCGGAAAATCAAAAAAACGGGTGCTTGTCGGGCTAGTGAGATGTATTTCATGAAAATTAGTGATACACAGAACCTTGGATCAACTTTTTTAGTAAGCATCAGACGATAAAAGTCTATTGATTAAAGTTTTTCTTTATATATTACAATAAGGTATTTATTTCTTAAAGTCTTTAATAATAAGCATAATGAAAGCTTGTCCGGCTAATGAGATGCATTGCATGAAAATTAGTAATTTACAACACCGATTAGCTTTTTTAGTAAATTTTTCCAAAACCAAGACAAAAACAACACGAATATTTTATTTACAGAATTTTTTTAAAAAATATGTAAAAAATACATCAGTAGTCGTCCAACACTACTATTTTTAAACTATCAGAATAATAAAGGCACTGACCAAAAAATTGGTATTAATAAATTTATCAAAATGAAAAAGATGCTGCTTTTTTGAAACCATTTAAAATTTTTATACGTAGGTAGGCTTAAACGGCAATGGGCGTAAATATTTGTATATGAACAGATCTAAGGGAGTAGAGGGATCATATAATTTTACGTGGGCATATTTAAAAGTGACCAAATAGTTTTAGATAAATAGGCGAAGTAAGGAGCCCCAATATTTTACATGAGCAGGCTTAAGAGGCAAAGGGGTCAATTATTATTGGATAAATTGCTCGAACAAGTTTGTAAACCCTAATTAAAAGGCAGTATAGGATGGTTTTAAAAATCCAAGCTTGTGAAAATCATCACATGGTTTTACTTACCACACAAACCAGAAAATTCAACGTCTTAATACAACTATCGGCTTTCAGTCTTTCGTTCCAAGTTATCATTTCTCGTTTTTTTACGCTACGATTTTACCCTTGTGGGCGTCAGTCTCGATAAGGTGGGAACCACCATTTTAGCGTCTCTCGAATTTACAATGCAATAGAATGATAAGACAACATTAAAATCAATCCCATATAAAAATTTGATTAGCAAGTGATTAAATGTCAACCGATTTCGGCTCTAGGACAATAATCGGATTTATAAAAGAATTGTTTATTTATTACTGAAAATTCATATCATTGCAGACGTAATTTATTGAATATTTTAAGTTCTAAATTTACAGACTAAATTAATAACCCAATTAAGTTCTAAATTTAGTATCTAATTTGGCTTCTGTGACAACCTTAAAACGCTATTATGAAAAATAATTATTTGACATTAATTTTAGTTAATCTTTTACGTAGGTTTTAGACATTGAGATAGAATAAAGAGGAGATGATGCTATGACGATTCTAAAGTGTCCGCACCTTTGAATTACACTTTTACGTCATTTATGTCAATCTCAGATAGTGAAGCTAGTCAGTTTTGGTGAAAATAAATGCCATTTTTGTTAAATAGCTTCATTTAAATGATATAAAATCATTTTCATTCCCTCAGTCTTCAATTATTGACTTCGAAGGAATCAAAGTACCACTCAAGTCACCATTTTCGTTACACTTTTCCATCACTCGAAGTGCGTCCATCTGTCATAACACAAAATAGTGTTTATGTCGTCTCTATTCTATCTCGATGGTTTTAGACAATTTCTGAAAGTGGACCACACTGTCCATAAAAAGTAGAACATCATCTAAGGTTTCTCATGAAAATCCGAAATCAATAACTTATTTTTATTTAGGCCATTCAAATTAATATTTTTTGAGGAATTAATTTCCAGCAAGCTGGAAATCGTTTTAATATCTTTATTCGGTCCTAAATGCGTGTAATCTAGGTTTGTCCCATCGCAGGAAGTGAACATAACTTGGTAGCCAAAAACCGCAAAATGTTTGCACTTTTTCAATTTTTTGATAACGCGCCGCGCGGCAAATTTCGGTCTTGACTGCCAAAGTGCTACTTTCTGCTCCTAATACACAAATAGCTAATTGTTACATGTTTATATTTCTCGAGGTATAAACCACTAAGTCCAAAACGTATCCGTATTTCGGAAATCATCGTGTGATTTCCTATGATTTCTCTATAAATTGTCTTCTTGAAAATATTCAAATGACCTTTTTTTAAGAACTCTATACTTGATTTTTGGTCGACCTTTTTTTTTGGACTCGTCCCTTGTCTTTTAATCCACAAGCTCCTGCGTTTTATAATTCTGGACGACAAATTGATTTCGACCATGATTTTCGGTGATTATTTCGAAAAAATTTGTAGTGATTTCGAGCGAAAACGTTCCAGTATTTCTGGAGTGGTTCACTTCTCGGTATTTCTTAAAGGTACCATTTCGGTAGGCGCGACAGGAGACAACAGGGTCGACGGCAAAGGCGACCTAGAACGGTCTCTTCGCGTCCAAACACATACAATTATATGAAACACATTTCGAACGGCGCGACACTTCCGAGAGACATATCTCGACGACAGGTAGGTCGGCCTCGGAGAATCGTTTGCTGTCTGTATCCCTTAGTCATCGCTTGATCGCTTGTATTTGGAGGCGATTAGTCGATATTTTATAGAAATGGTAGTTTCATTCTTTCGATCTAGGCAGTGTTGCCAGATGAACATTTGCTGAAATAATATGAGTGAAAAAAAAAACCGTAGATCTGAACAGTAGATTATGGGGAAATAATTATAATTTGCAGTGTACTAATTAAAAAAAAGCAAGTATATAAGAAACGAAAAATAAACATTTTTCTACCCAAATTAGAAAGAAAACAAAGAATAAAAACAATTAATAACATTTTTAATATATACTTAACGTACGGAAACAAAAAAGAAACCAATGAAAAATAATAGGTATTTCTTTTAGATCAGTCTGAATCGGATAATTCAAATACGTTGTGTTTGGCATGCATGTTCTTTTTATGATGCCCTTTTAATTCTTTGTTGCATTTTAAATAAAAAACAATGATTATCTTGAGGTTTTTTTTTTTATGGAGCCAATCTACAGTAGTGGATGCTTATTACTTCAGCAAATTTACTAGAGAAAATATTCTTTGACCATTTGCTGAAGAATGAGGCAAACTTAATAAATTAAGAATCAAATTTGTTAGGTTGGCGATAACAGTAGATTTCATGCCTAAAACAGGAGATCGGAGACAAAAACAGTGGATCTATTTAAAAACAGTAGGTCTGGCAACGCTGATCGTTCTCTCGAATGGTTGTCTGCGGGTGTCGTGTCACCTGTCTCCTTGCTTCCCAAATGTACGGAGCGTAACATTAATGCATCTGTCGTCCTTGCGTTCGAGTCTGTTGTGTCCTGTCTCCTGTCGCGCCTACCGAAATGGTACCTTAAGAGTAAATCGGACACCTCGAAAATTTATAATTCATTCTGAGCTTTTATTTTTAGTCCGTTTTTTGCGAAATTTTCAGGAAATACCAATAATAACAAAAATTAGGGTGGAGAAATCTTGAATTTTTTGTAAAACTTCGCAAAATATTTATTTTGAAAAATTTTAATAAATATCTAGTAGTTTTTAAATGGAATGCTTTCCCACCTTTTTTTTCTTAAACGTCTCTGTAGAGTGCTGCCTCAATATTGTCAAGACACATAATATCACGAAGTATTCCCAATGGCACGCATATAAATACAATTTTATATTAGAAAATCCTTAAAACATTTATGCTTTCGCGAGAGGCCCGGTTTCCTCTTAAACAGAAACAAAGAAACGGGATACTTTAAACTTCCATCATATTTAGAGATTTAATTTTTGATTCAAAGTTCCTGGTACGCCCCTGATTAAAACTACTACCACTTCTACTCCAACCCGATACCTATATCCGTACAACGTTGAATCATTTTTCTACATATTTGTAACTAAAAGTAAAACAAACACTCCAAACGAGATAAAATTAACAGATAACAATGACGATAATGAACGATACAATTCGGAACACATTACAACTAAGCACCGTTCGTCTCTCTGTCTTAATAGCCGACAATTACCAACTAATTACCTTTCTACCTACGCCAAATTACTTTTTAGGCCATTGCGCTCTTCGCAAGAAATTCAAAATAACAGTCGTTGCAACGCTATCAACAACATCGACATCGTCTTTTAGTTTTTAATCCGGTGCGTATCGCTATCTAGCGGAGAAACAATACAACGTCCACCTGTTTCGTAAGTTTACCTGTCCAGGTGGGGGGTTACCTGCAGTCGGTCACGTGACCCGCCAGTTTTTAACGTAAAAAACAAAGTATAACCGCGCCTACAGAGACGAACAAACGTTTTTTTTACATTCGTAGTTCACCCGCTATATCACCACATTGCGGTGGTGAAACGTGAACGCGAAACACCCGAGAGTTTCGATTTTTCCGTGAGATATAGCACACGATCGATTTTTTCGCGATAAATCCGCAGTTGCATAGCTACAAGAATGCGAGTACCTAGTTCGAAGTCTTTGTGTTCAAAATATGTGATTATCGTTTTGAGAAAAAGTGTTTTTTAAAATCTATTAATGTTGTGCTAGTGTTGGAAAAATGAATAAATCAAAAAGAACGTTGTTTTCCTTAGCTTTTCTCACGTATTTCAAGTTTGTTTACCTCCAAGAACAAGGGATCTCCGTAACTGAGCACTCAGGAGGGCGAATTATTAACGATAAACTGGTTTTTTACAAGGCCCAAAGTCCGTATTTATTGAAAAACGATGTGATAGTCGAAGCCAACGGGGAGGTAATCATCGAGGCTGGGGTTACCATCAAAATTGAGCCACAAGTCGGGATAACCGTTAGAGGAATTTTGACAGCTGAGGTAAGTTGACATTTGCTAAAGTAAATAAAAATACTGGGTATGGTATATGACTAGTGAAAGTTGTAATAAAGGTGAAATCTCTTAAGTAATATCTCGATCATTCATACGATTATAATTGGTTCTTTGTTGTAAAAGTAACAAAATTGCTTTTATGAATGGATCTAAATATTGTGTAAAATGAAAATGCTCGCAAATATTGGTTAATAAAAAAAATAATGGAACCATTAATGCAGAATATAAAATACCTTTTTGCCTTTACCCCGTTTTCAGGCCCCTTTGGGACTGTATTTTCGGAAAAATCTTTTATTTCGTACGAATAATCTAAATGTCGCTATTAACGCCTTTAATATCTTCGGCTTTAGAGTTTTAGGTACTTTTTTTAAAGAAATTGAACCCTCCATTTCACCCTCTTATGGATCGAATTTCCAAAAATCCTTTATAGGTTGTTTCTTTGTTAGGTTAAAAACAATGACATACCTGTCCCAAATTTCATGCTCCCTAGGTTACTTATGTAGGTTAGACTGTACGTTAATGAGTCACTCAATTAGGACACTTTCTTTTATGTATATCGATGTTATAAAATGGAAATTCCCAAAAACAGTTATCAAAATTACCCCTATGAAATAATGAAAACTATTTTTAACTCCAAACAGTGAAAACAAACTTATTGAAAAATTTAAAAAACTGTCAGACACCTAATGTTTAGGTAAGTAGCGTGCGTAGAACCTTCCCGGGACAGAATTTTTCAATAAATTTGTTTTCACTTTGGGGTTCAAAAATAGTTTTTATTATTTCGTATGGATAATTTCGAAAAATGTATACTTTATTTTCAGATATATCATCTTATCTTATATCGCTAGTGTCCCTACTTCATTTATCATTAACCGTCATTACATATCTATAGAAGTTTTAACAAATGAAATAAATACTAAAATTAATTCAAAAACGGGTTAATATATTTATTCAAAAATTTTAATAAGACCAGACTTTTTAATAAATTAAAATTGTAGGAATGTATAGTCTTTTTGCTAATAAAATAACACCTTTTTTTCTTGTTTTCAAATTTGTTTACAAGTTTATTATTCGGTTTTTCATGGGTCATCATCTTATAGTATTTTCATTCTAAATGTTCGTGAGTGCTAACCCTTATTGCTTTTCTTTACCCATGGAGGCTCTATGGAGTCTAAGGTAAGTTATTAACCCACTGGGTTAAACCCAGTGATTTCAAATTAAAAGGAGAAGATATACAAAACAGAAAAAGATTGAGTAGGTATATAAAATTTTAAACGTTTGACATTTTAAAATTAATATATTGTTTTTTTCATATTATTGTTTTCTTCAAACGTTAATTAGTTATAAAAAATTAAAAATCTCGAATTTCATCATCAAAGAAGAGAATAGTATATTAAAATAAAAGTTGCAGAAGGCCACATATTCCCGCACGAATTCGAAATTTGGTCACGAGCCACGAGGAGCGAGAGGACGAACGAATGAGTGCAAGAAGAGCCTTCTATTTTATCAATTTTGGCCTTTATTTACCGTTTCTTATTTTTTCATTTTTTTTGTGATCGTTGTTGGGGATTTTGTTCGCAAAATATGTTACTAACGAACTGTTTGGTTTAGTATGTCTAAAGGGTTGCGACATACGATGTAGTCTATCTACAATACGTGAAATCATAAATAATGGATTAAATTTAAATATTTTATGTCGAACACAATTAAAATATTATTTTTAAAAAATCGCTTAGCTATACATTTTTTATAAATTGACGGGCTTCGGACTACTATTTCAAATAAAAATAGCGTCCAAGATGGAAGGCTGTGTCATAATCCCCTTAGATTTACGAGCCCTTCCCACTAGCAGTTATTAGTGAATGTCAACTGAAATGTCACAAAAAAATGTCTCCAAAAATCGTATATTCTTCAACAATTTTACGTGCGACAATATGATATTCTTGCACCAAAATCGAGAAAAGAACTTTTTGTTTTTCTGTCCGATGAAAAATTATTTTAAATCAGCGAATCTAAATTTAAAAATTATAAAAAAATGTCTTTTGTCCACGACCACTTAATAATAAATCAATATTCTACCTCCTAACTAAGAGCATATGGTACCCATATATCACTAGAGTGAATTATGATAATTCACGCTTTTGTAATTCTGGCAATTTCCGGTAGATAACTAAAGATCGGCGATACTTTTCATAACGATATTTTCTACATCGAAAAATCAGAAATTCGAAAAATCGGAAAATTGAAAAGTCGAAAAATCGCAAAAAACGAAAAATCGAAAAATAGAAAAATTTAAAAATCAGAAATTCTAAAAATTGGAAAATCCGAAAATTGAAAAGTTGAAAAAACAACAGTTAGTACCTATGTTTAATAAAAACTTTCCATTCTACACTTAACTTTTATTTAATAAAGAAACCATAATGGTCGTGGACAAAGTATAGTATTAGACTCGCAATTTATGGCCATTATTCACTCGGGTGAATAATGGCTACCATAAATTGCTCGTTTAATAATATACTATTATGTAATGAATTTGAACTTTAATCAAGATGAATTGTATTTCTTCAAAAATATACATACTTACATACCCAAGTTACGACTTCAAATACGAGCTGTCAAAATAAATAAAAACAAGAGATTGTCCACAATAAAACCAGAGCCTACTGGACCATTTTAAAAGACTTACTTTAATTTAGAAAATTACAGAAAATCACCGAAAATCGGCTGTTGCTATTGTTAAAAAAAAAATTGTTACCCCAATTATTCAAGTTTCAATTATATTGTAAGATCTATAGTATATCCCTCGTCCAATGTGAATATAGATACAAATAAAAAAAAATGAGGTCCCGTTTGCATGCAAGGTTCGTATTAATCATCCATAATTTACATCTCGACAAATATGGGCAATTCTATTAAATGCTAGTTCGATATTAGGGCAATAATGTATTGCTAAAAAAAATTCCAGAGATAATTTGAATTATTAAACATAATCCTAGTAAGGATCCAAAATTTCATATAGTAGAAATATTAGAAGGCGTAGGTAAAGTAATTAATGAATTATTTAAAATTTTAATTAATGGATTATTTTTTCGAATTGGTATATTCATTAAAATTTTTGTCGAAGTGGCCCATAAGAGTTATTAGTAATTTTAACTACAGCAATTAGTGTAATAAAAAGATAAGTAATTATTATAATTATTAAATAAAAATTAGGGTAATTAAAATATTTTTTTAATGAATTTATGTTTCTAGGGTTTATATTTATATTTTTTATATCTTGAATATTTAAAAAATAATTTAAATAAAATTGATCGATTAATATTAATATGATAATTATAATTAATCTTAAAATTATAATTTGACGCAATTGGTTTAAAATGAAAACTGATAGGCTCTAACAATAACTAGAGTTAGTTGCTCCAAAAATTTTAAGAAAAATAGGTATTTTTCATAGTTCTGCATGATCTAAAATATAGCCATCAAATATCAAATTTATTCAGCGGTTTGCAAAGATTTTCTGAAATTTGTAAAAAATATGGTTTTTGGGTAGTTAATCACAATAATTGAAGACTAAGTTCTAATATGCAATTACATCCATCTACACCAGCCATGTCAAACTCAAAGTCACTGGTAGGCCAAAAACATGAAGACCGTAGACAAACCATTGAAAATTTAACGAAAAAAGCACTATTATAGAAAACGTATATTTATTACATTTACAATAAAAAGCACATTACAAAAAGTACAAACACGCTCGCATTATCTGGCATTTTTTTAAAATTGATTCGGGTCGCAAGAAAATGCTTAGTGGACCGCATACGGCCCGCAGGTCACATTTTTGACATGACTCATCTACACAATACTGAAAAATAAGATTTTATAATTTTTTACACATCTCTCTAAAACAAAATTTCCCTACACATGATATTTAATCTAGTATGTTTTGACAGCAACAGTATGACAGTGAGTGTCAAAGCAAAACGCACTTTTAACAATAAACGAAAATAATTTATTACATTACGTGTGAAAAATCACTTTTATACAAGTGAAGTACAATATGTTTCCTACGACCACAAAATAATTTTATCTAAAAAATGTAAAACCAGGAAATCAAGATGTGGCTGGTTTTAGATTTATTTTTATTAAAAAATTGTTTTATGGATGGTGTTTTGTCGAAATTATAAACATTGTGATTTCATTTACAAACATTTTCATAGGATGATAATGGCAAAATAGCATTAGGTATAAAAAATATTAGAATATGATAATGTTTCTCAGTATTTTGTTTTTTTAATACAACAAATAATAACCGTGAACAAGAACTTTTTTTTACTTATATCGGTAATTGAACCCGCATTGCGACATGGTCGCGACTTGCCACATTAATTATCTAGTCAGATATGTATAAAAACAAAAAATATAATTTTAAAATTATTTTAATAATTTGTTAAAAATAAATATCTAGGTATACAAATCAATGTTAAAAATTTAATCATCAAATCGATTTTACTATTAATATGGACATTGCGTAGATCTAAATAGAAAGTATGCGTCTGACATATTTGACAGCTGATGCGGAAAGTGGATTCATATTCACACACGCGTGGAAAGTAGATTTTTATCTACACGCGTGTGATATGTGATATAGGGCTCTTCGGTAAGACAAATAGTGCGATATATGTCACTTTCCTTAGTGGTCGTAGGAAAATATAATTTTCAGGGTAGATGAATGTAATTGCTTTTAGAACCTGTTTTTTTTTTTAATTTTGAACACATTCCCTTTATAACAATTTTCAGTCTCAAAATTAATATTTTTGATAACCGTTTAAGACTGAAAAAAGTTCATATCCATTGGTTTAGACCAGCCATACTCAACCTGCGGCCCTCCAATCTCATCTGTGCGGCCCTCCAAGCTTTTTTTGCGGCCCTCCAAGCTTTTTTGTGCGGATTCAAACACGATTATTAGTAACTGAAATGGTCCTGTCCTT